GGGACCCTATGATCATTTTAAGATTCAAATAGTCACAGGCTTTTTAGCCCAGACATGTGAGTTTTCTAAAAGACTTAGTAGGCTTCTTATCCATTTAACTCTAGTCAGTTGAGTGTATTATAACCACACCTGCAATTCTTTTCAATACACGGTTCTTAAAACCAGTTGCTGTGGGGTCAGTTCTACTTATGGCAACCCCATGTGTGTCAAAGTAGAACGGTACTCTATAGGGTTTTCAGTGGCCGATTTTTTGGTAGTAGATCACCAGGCCTTTCTTCCAAGGTGCCTCTGGGTGGACTCAAACTTCCAACATTTCCAAGCTTGTAAACCATTTGCACAACCGAGGCACTCCACATAGTTCTTCAAACTAAAACCAAACCCATTGCCTTTGAGTCCAACTCATAGTGACCCTATAGAATGGAGTAGAACTGCCCCATAGTGTTTCCAAGAAGCAGCTGATAGATTCAAACTGCCAACGTTTTGTATAGCAGCCGAGCTCTTAACCACTATGCTACATAGTTCTTAGATCTGCTTTATTTCTTTGCTGTCTTACCCCTAAGCTTTCTCAACTTAAAGAGAGCTATCAATGCTACTCACAGCTGTAATATGATCTTAGCACTGGAATCATTTTATCTATCTGAGAAGTTTTACAGGGGACTTTTCACTCAAAGCCTTTTAGAATTCAATCTCTTACTTTAATTGATTTTAGCCCTGAGGTACTTTAATCAATAGAAAAAAAAACCCCCACTACCGTTGAATCTATTCCGACTCATAGCCACCCTATAGGACAGGGTAGAACTGCCCCATAGTTTCCAGGGAACGCATGGTGGATTCGAACTGCTGAGCTTTTGGTTAGCAGCCATAGCTCTTAACCACTACGCCACCAGGGTCTCCTTAATCAATAGAGAAGTTTTAAAAATTGGTGTGAAGGCAACACCCTTAATCTAGTATTTGCCCTGAGGCATTTTAATGAATTGATAGGATTTAATATACTCAGCTCTGGTGGCACAGTGGTTAAGAGCTATGGCTGCTAACAAAAAGGTCAGCAGTTCGAATCCACCAACCACTCCTTGGAAATCCTATGGGGCATGTCTACTCTGTCCTATAGGGTCGCTATGAGTCGAATCGACTGGACGGTAAAGGCTTTGAGTTTTCTTTGGTTTAATATGCTCAGCAGGAGCGTGGTGGTTCAGTGGTAGAATTCTCGACTTCCATGTTGGAGACCCGGGTTCTGTTCACCTAGCCTAGCTTCCTTCTCGGTAAGTGGACTGATCTTTTAAAAGGGGTAGAGACTCAAAGAGGATGAGGAGAGAGGATGAGGGACTCAGTGAGAGGATGAGGGTTTGAGGGAGAGTTAAGAGCTCCGGAAGCAAGAGGGAGGAGCTTCTTGGCCCAGCGAGAGAGGGGCGGAACTCAAGGATGGAGTGGGGGCTTTAAGGGAGGAGGTGGTCTGTGAAGAGGGTGGGGGCTCAGAAAAGAGATAGGAGTTTCTATACCGGGGTGGGGGCTCCATGTATATCGGGAGGGAGACCCAGAGAGGAGTCTGAGGACACAGAGAAGAGATGAAGGCTCAGTGAGGGAATGGGTTTTACAAGAAGGATGAGGGCTTGAAGGGATGATGGGCGCTTCCGTGAGGAGCTGGTGGGGTCTCCATGAGGGGCCTGAGACCAGAGAAGTGAACTCTGGAAGGGGAAGTGGGCTCGGGAGCTGCACGAGGCGCAACTGCAGAGCCGGCCCCTGGGGCAGGCGGGCGCCCCCCCGCCCCCCGGTCCCCGATAACCCCCGCCTCCCACTGCGGCGCAGGCGTGGATCAAACCGGCTCTTGCTTTGCTCCTGCTCCGGCTCCCGCTCGGCGGAGGCTGCAGGCGGAGAGGTGAGCTCAGCCACTGCTCCATGCACAGCCGGACCCCTACCCCACCCTCCCCAGGGGTTTCGGAGACATCCCCCCCGCTGCATCCCCAGCCCCGGCCGCCCCACGCCTCGGCTGGACGGCAGCGCCCAAGCCCTGGAGAGCCTTGGGCTTTGGGAGGTGGGATCCCAGGGTAGTAGCGAGGGGGCAAGGACTGCACCAGCCCCATCGCCCCATGACACCTCAGGGTTGACAGACTGGGCAGAGGCTTCAAAGGACAAGACTCCCCCCTCTAAAAACCCATTCCCACCCCGCTCTGCCTCAATTTTCCCCTAGGGGAAAGACCGTAGTTAATCTCTACCAGGGGACGGGTGGTCCGGTCAGAAACAGTGATCCGGAATGGGGCAGGAGATAGCAGAGGCCTGACTTTCCTGGCCTAGCCCCCTGGAGTGCGCCCCTTTTCCCGGCCTGGGCCGCGCCGGACGCCTGGAAAGAGAACTGAGTGTCGAGGCCGTGCAGAGGCCAGAGAGTCTATCCATCTTCAGGCCCTCGCGCCCGTCACCTCCTGGTATGGCTCTCTCCCCTCGCCTCCTCCACTGCAGTCTCCCCCCTCGGACCCCGCAGCCCCCTCCTCTTCCCGCTCCGTTACTCCGGTGCTCCTCCTCTCTCCTGGCCAGGGACACCTCCCCACCGGTTCCCATGGCAACCCTCGTCCCGGATACCCGCACCAGGCCCCCAGCATTCCCTCCTTCTCCCCCCTACCCGCCAGACGGCTTCTCTTCCACCCCTAAAATGGGAGAGAGAGGGGTCAGGCCGAGGTGGGAGACAGCGGCAAGGTCACCTTCTTTCTCTGGTGCCAGCAGGATTGAGTGGTTTTATATATATATTTGGAGGAACAGGGCGGTGAATTGCAGGGGAGGAGCTGACCCAGGCTAATACGCCCTGGACCCCCCTCCTCGCCCCCTCACTTAGGGCCATTAATTAATGGTCACTGCCCTGAGTTTCCGAGTGCCCCTCCTGCCCCATTCATTGTCCCTACCCCGCCTCCTTAGCGCGCTGCCTGCCGCGGGCTGCCGCACGGGCTACGCCCTCTGCAGTGCCGCCCCGCCCACCGCCGGGGGAGAGCCGCGCGCTCCCCAGCGCTCTCTCCCTGTCTTTCCTTTTTTTCTTTTTTCCTCGTTTCTCTCCAGAATTGTGGGTGAGGGGAGGGGAGAGCCGCGATTTATGGGCAGGATTTGTCGACAGCAGTCATGTGCGCTTGTGTGGGTCCGCAAGGCCTCCAAGAAGCACCCCAACACACTGTTTAAGTGACCCGTGTGTCTATATGAGTGCTTCTCTGTGATGTGTGTGTGTGTTTGCACCTGCCTGTTTACCCATGTGTCTTTGTGTGGTGTGTGTCTGTGTTTCTATGTGACGTGTCTCTGTGTGTGGTGTGTCTGTGTGTCTATAGGGGTATGTCTCTGTGTAGTGTGTGTGTGCCCGTGTGCCTGTGTTTTTCTGTGCTGTGTGTCTATCTGTACGTGTCTCTGGGTGGTGTGTGTGTGTGTCTTTCTGGGTGTGTCTTTTTGTAGTGCTGTTCGTGTGTGATTGTGTGTGCTGTGAGTTTCTGTAGGGGAAGATGTGGGGCCCACATCTGATTGGAAGCGAGAAGGGCCTAGAGGTTTGTCTTACCCTCAGAGCAAGCACATGGTTTTATTCTATTTGAAGCTGCTCAGAGGGTCTGAGGGCCAGTGTACCTGTGTTGGAGTGGCGCGGGGGCAGGCGGCCCAGCCTTTTTCCAGCACCTCCCTGACTTTTTTTTGTGTGTGTGGTGAAAATATACACAACAAAACATATGCCAATTCAACAGTTTCTACATGGATAATTCAGTGACATTGGTTACATTCTTCAAGTTGTGCAACCATTCTTGATATCCTTTTCCATATTATTCCACCCGCATTAACATAAACTCTCTGCCCCATTAAGCAAAATTCCCCCTTTCCCTGTCCCTTCTACCCCGGTAACCACTAACAATCTTTGGTTTCTATATATTTGCTTATTTCATATAAGTGGGATCATACACTACTTGCCCTTTTTGTGACTGACCTGCTTTGCTCAGCATGATGTTTTCAGGTTCATCCATGTAGTGGCATACATCAGGACTTCATTTCTCTTTATGGCTGAGTAGTATTCCGTTGTCTGTATATACCACGTTTTGTTTATCCATTCGTCTGTTGCTGGTCATTTCCACCTTCCGGCTCTTGGAAAAGTGCTGCGAACCTGACTTTGGTTTTGACCCTTACCTGTGTGTGGTACAAGTACCTTCTATTCTCAATGTTCCCATGTCTCCATTTATGACAAGAGGGGCTCTTAGATGGGTTTCTCTAAGAAATCTAACAGCCCTTGAGCCTAAGAGTCTCTAATCCTAAGGGCCCCTGACTTTCACCTCCTGTGGAGTGAAGATTCCCTGGGACTTGGAGGTTACCGTTGCCTTCCAAGAGACAGCCCAGGGAGGGACCTTGTAGGACCTTGTCGCTTGGGAGCTCTGACTGATTGGACAAGTGTCAGCCATGACAATTAACCCCAGAAAGGGCCCTGAATGGGGAGGGGGGACTTTGAGTGGGATGAGAATGAGGATCTCTTGTCCCAGACATGGGGCCCAGCAAATTCATGATGGAAATAATAATAAAGAAATTACGGCAATAATAATCACAACAGTGACTGTTTCTCTGTTCCAGGTACAATAACTATATGAAGCAGGTATGATTATTAGCCTTGTTGTACAAATGAGGACTTGGAGGCTCAGGGAAGTGAAGGCACCTATCTAAGGTCACACAGTGAGGAAGTGGTGGATCTAGGATTCCAATCCAGGAAGTCAGGCTCCAGAGCCCACAGTCCCAGCCACTGGATAGCCTTCAGATTAAATACCCATATTTACTGACACCTGTAATTGCCAGGCACTGGGCTAAGCACTTCAATGCATTGGTTCATTCGTAGTGTATTTAGGGAAAGATAGGTCAGGATTCCAGAAGGCCAGGCTGTGCAACGAGTGTGGGGTGTCTAGAAGCAGGAGGAGAATTGGGTGGGGAACAAAGATTCAGGGGGGCCTGAGGGTCACCGTGGGCAGCTCTCATTGACCCCTCCCTCTGTCAGCCACACCCAGAGGTCTGCGATGCTGAGCTGTGATCGTTCCTGTGGCTGCAGCCGCGGCCCCAACGTGGAGGATGGCAAGTGGTATGGGGTTCGCTCCTATCTCCACCTCTTCTATGAGGACTGTGCGGGTACCGCCCTCAGCGATGACCCCGAGGGCCCCCCTGTCCTGTGCCCCCGCCGACCCTGGCCCTCACTGTGCTGGAAGGTAAGGGCAGAGGAGGAGCAGCTCCTGTTATTTCCTGCGACTTCACAGAGGAGATGGGACTGAATTGAGGCTCAGAGGACAAAAAGAAAAGGTGTGGTACAACAGTTAGGAGTCGTGCGTGTTCAAACAACAGAAAACCCAACTCAAATGGGTTTACACAATAAAGGGAAAATACTGCTCCATTTTATAGCTGAGACCAGAGATTGGGTGACTTCAGGCAAAGTTTGATCCAGCAGTCCAAACCATCACACTGAAGACTTTTCAAGGTTTCTCTTAGTCCTCAGGCTGCCCATGTGCCCCCTCCCCTATGGCCCACTCTCAGCTTCAGGATCTTTTGACATGTTCCCCAAATGCCGGCTACTGTGCTGACTCTAGACCTTCAATTCACACACCATCCAAGGGAAGTCAGAGAGTGTCCTCCAGAAAAGAGACAATGCTTTTCGTTCCCAGAAGTCCTGGCAAGCATCACATTGTCTCTGATTGGATCACTTGCCCATCCCTGAACCAATGGCCACGGCTAGGGGATGGGATACACTGACTGGCAATCAAAGAGAACAATCAGGCCCGGATACACATAGGTAAAGGTGTGGAGGGGGCAGTGAGCTGAGTCCCTGTAAAGGGTACAGCTCTTTGCTAAACACTGTAGGGAGACACAGGCATAGGGTACTCTAGGTGAGGTGCCAACCTGTGCACAGTGAATGCACAGTCTCAGGCCAGGTATGCAGAGGTTGCCAGGCGAGGAAATGCCTCAGTGCCTGAGGATCAGGAAAACATCCAGGAAGAGGTGAGAATGTAATTAAAAATTGTGAGCATCTTCTCATTGTGAGGCACTGTACTAGGCTCTTGGGGACACACAGTTTAAGAAGACATGGTCTTCTTCCTCTTATGAGCTCCCTGAGGAGCTCTTAGCCGCGGTCCATTTAGTAATTCAGCAAACATTTATCCAGCTGCTGCTTTGTGCTAGTACCACTGTGCTAGGCACAGAGACATACAGTGAGCCAAACAGACGCAGTGCCTGCTCTCCTGGGGCTCTCAGACATCACACACACACACACACACACACACACACACACACACACACA